AAACAAAAAAAAAAAAAGAACAATTATATTTTCAGGGAATGAAAGTAATATTGGCAGGCTCAGCCTTACCACACCAACTGCAAAGTACGTGGGGGTTATGGATTCATGGGAGAGTTCGAGTTTCCTGCGCCAATAATACACAGTAAAACATGACTGCCTGAGGAACTTGGCAATCAGGTACAGAACTCCGTAGGTAAGTCGCCCATACTCCGAGTCCGCTCGAGACTTTTTGTTCAGGTGGAAAAGGTTAGGTTGGTACCACCAGCGCGGAAGATCCCAAGAAAAGCCATTCAAATGCCGATCACGATTGGTGCGTATCGCATCGTGGCTGATTTAGTGCCGTCGCAATTCTCCAGCGCTACCATCCAGCGCGATCCATCCAGGCCAATAATGAGCACCAATTTAACCTTGCAGCCTGGTACTACTTGGTTCGTTCAGCAGCGTCAGCGAACTCTCCAGCCTTATTTACCTTGCGAGTCTCTTCCTGGTACCTTAATCCCTTAGAAACCCATGGGTTGTTATCCTGGACAATCACGTACCACAATGGTCGCCGAACACTTGACCATTCGCAATCTCACATCCACGCCAATTACCCTGAAGCGCATTGAGCGCTTTCATCCGCATCATGATCGTAATATCCAACATTTTGCTAGAAACTTCACCCGAGTCTTTACCAATGTAACCCGCACCAGTGCGCCGGTGGCCGCCATCACGGATGACAACGAACCCTTTGTTCATGAGGATTTGGATATTCATATCGAACCTTTCCAGACAATTCACACTGAGCTTCGCACGTTTATCGACTCGGATAAAGAGCGCGTACGCTGGTTCTTCGAAGTGGAGGGAGAGAGACACCAAGTCCAGACTCCCGTGCCCACGTCGGAGTCCGCCACTATGAAGGCATTGTGCGACGAGCCTCGATTCAAACTCACGGGTATATATGTGACGCCTGAGGCTCATCTATCAATCTACTCCTCCGCCAACCTGAACGCGTGGATGGGCGAGCTAAAGGACGACACCTTGCTCTCCTCTCTCTCGATCCCAGGCACCCACAATTCCCCAACCTGCCATGTTGCGCCGCCCTCCGTTCGCTGCCAAGCAGTCAGCCCACGAGAACAGCTCGAAAACGGTGTGCGATTCTTTGACATCCGTGTGCAGCCCCAGTATCCAGAAGATGCCGACAAGGATGAGCTTGCTTTGGTGCACAGCGTCTTCCCCATCTCTTTAACGGGAAACAAATACTTCCGTGACTTGATGCATGAAGTAAACGAATTCCTCGACCAGAATCCGTCGGAGACCCTGATCATCTCCCTCAAACGGGAGGGACCCGGCGAGCACACCGACCAGCAGCTCAGCCGGATTCTGAGCGATCACTACGCACGTCCAGACAGTCGGTGGTACACAAACCCCAAGATCCCCACTCTTGGCGAAGTGCGCGGTAAGGTCGTTCTTATCCGTCGGTTCGACATCTTGGATCATCTCAAGGATATCCATGGGGGCGCAGGCTGGGGAATCTGTGCCTCGGGATGGGCCGACAACTGCTCCAACGCGACTTGCCCCAGTGGACAATTATGCATCCAGGATTTCTACGAAGTCTTAGAGACGGAGAACATTGGCGAAAAGATTAAGTACGTGCAGGAGCATTGCTTCCGGGCCGCTGAGACCTGTTACCCGTTCGGCGTGCTTCCGGACTCCGAAGCAACCAGGGCACATCCATTTTATATCAATTTCTTGAGTGCGAGCAATTTCTGGAAACTTGGCACTTGGCCGGAGAAGATTGCAGGTAAGCTGAACCCAGCGGCAGTTGATTATCTCTGCCGGATGCATGGTGAAAAGGATGACTGTGACTGGTCCACCGGTATCCTTGTCACGGACTGGGTTGGCCTGGATGGCGACTGGGATCTTGTGCGATGCATCGTGGGCATGAATGCTCGGTTGAAACTGAGGCAAGATAGGCATGAAGGAGACAACTAGATGACACGGCGTATTAGCTCTATAATGTTTTGCTTGTACTAGGGCATGGAATATCTGTTACATTTACCCAACTTGTGGCCATCCACAAAACCCACAATGATATCCATAACTACACCTTTCGGGTTTGAACAAATTAGTGAATATATATATATATATATATATATATATATATACTGTAATTAATCTTGCAATCTTAGCTCATTTATACATATTGGTACAGTCCTGGTTATGTGTACGGCGTATAGTAGAAGCTAGTATAGCCCACCAGATCTAAGAAGCATGTGGCCGAGGACTCGAGAGATGTGCACGGTTGTATATTAGAATTTCGCATTCTATACTTTGGCTTGTGTTTTTAAAGTAACCCTTCATGTGCTAGAAAAAAAACCCCCATAGCCTTCAATAACCGGACAGGAAAAGTACAAGTGTAGGTAGTATTATACATAGAAATCAAACTGGTCGCGTTACATTTAAGCCTCAGTCTTCTCATCACCCGGGCCCTTCTGCTCCTCCTCCAGGACGCTCTTCCTGCTCTCAAGAGTGAAGTACAGGCTCTTACCAGCGCCCTCCAAAGTGTTCGTGACGCTAGATGCCATGCTTTGCAGGGCCATGACAAGTTGTGACCGCAGACCATCCATACCACCTTCGATGCTACCGACCCACTTGGTCTGGTCAACATCGAACACCTTGCCATCCACACGCGCGGCAAGAAGAGCCAGCTTATTCAAACCGTTCTGAACGGGCAGCTCATGCCATCCTGGGTTGGCCTTGCGAGTGGGAACCGGGAAGCCAGCTGCCTTGGGAGCAAGGACCGTAAGCGCAGCTTTCAGATGTTCCGGAGACATCTGAGGAATGCTCAAGACTGCAATTGGTCCAACCAAGACTGGCGACAATTCGTGCTTGCCCTTCATATTGAGAACAGCATCATGAGCCGCACGGGAAAGGTCGTGTGACAGAGTGGGATCATCCCTCGACCCAGAGAGAGAGACTTCGGCAGACGTTTGCGTGATGGGGTCGACGGCGCTGGGGGTCTGGCCGGCTTCAATTGTGGAGGCGCTGGGTCGGAAATACTCGACGATACGGAGGGCAACCTCAAAGATACTGGTCTGAACAATTTGCACCTTGACGTGAGGAGCAAGCGGAGGGAGGGAGCGTCCCTCGGAGGCAATCTGCTCGTCCACTTTCTGCAAAGCCTTGCTCAATTCTCGTCGGATGGCAGCCCATTCCACAGACTGAAGGTTATCGTGCTGTAGAAACACCATAAGAGGTGTAGTGCGGATGAGCGACGTATATTGTCGGAGAAGCTGAGACCGACGGTACTCGGGATTGCGATGTGAGGGAGGTTGAGACGGAGGAAATCTAGCAATAGGGGCAGCGGAGTGTGTCATCTGTTCAGGAGACGCGGCCGGGGTCGTAGCTGTCGCAGCGGTACTCGCGTATCTTGTGAGAATAGGCAGCTCATGTTGACAGAGGAGCCTTTGCCGGCAGAGAGGCTGGGGGATGCGGCCACTTGACAGGCGAATTCGTGGAGGCATTGTGAAGAAAATGGTAGGTGTTAGCAGGATTTGAGTTTTTGCACGGTCGATTTATCCTAGAAGCGGCTCCTGATATGGACAAGGGCGCCTGAGGCCGGTGAAATTCGAGATACCGACAACAGTGACTTCCGGAATATACAACTTGGACGAAAATATGGCACGAAATCTTGGGTTCCCCGAAAAGGTATAGCGGGATCTCTGGGCGGTGAGGTTCTGCCCTACGCCGATGACGGATTCTATATGAGGGGTGCATTGAGTCAGAGATTCTTATTATCGCGTCTGTGTCTTCAATTTCGGGGTTTTTAACGGCTTCGGGGGATATACCTGCAGTTATCCTACAGCTAAAATGTCTGCTGCTCCTTTTGACCTGCAACCGGGTCAAGTCTCTATCTCACCCCTCCTACAGAAGCTCGCCTACCCCTCCGAGAAGCTTCCTGTAGAAGCTGCAGACATTGCTTCAGCATTCGCATTAATTTTCGAGGACCGTCTCTCTGCTATACAGACGGCAGCTCTTCTGACACTTTTGCACTCTACTGGAAGGGATCGAGATGCAGAGGTCATCGCTAGATGCTCCCATCGCATGCGAGAGGCCGCTACTCAAGTCGACAGGCCCACCTTGAAAAAGGTCATCAAGGCCCACGGTAAGAAGGAGGGCACTTACAAAGGTGGCCTGGTAAGAATTGCTTTCGGTCCGCAACCCATATAATACCAGTAACCTGATATGTGGACTACCTTAGTGTGATATTGTTGGTACTGGCGGAGATTCGCACTCCACTTTCAATATCTCTACCACTGCTTCTATCATCGCCTCGCCGCTTATCCTAATGGCCAAACATGGCAATCGCGCGCAGACCTCTTTCTCTGGATCCGCAGATGTCCTCAATGCTATTCCGCCGACTCCCCCGAATATTTCCGCTGTCAGCGCCGAGAACCTTGCGCAGGTGTACGAGAAGACCAATTATGCATTCTTGTTTGCTCCCAACTTCCACCCGGGCATGATGTACGCCAATCCAGTGCGCCGCGCATTGGGACTACGAACAATTTTCAACTTGATGGGCCCACTGGCTAATCCTGTTGATTGGGCCATTGAGGCTAGAGTGGTCGGTGTGGCCTACCAGAGCCTTGGACCTGTTTTTGCCGAGGCCCTTAGGCAGAATGGATGCAAAAAGGCCATGGTCATCTGCGGTGAGGAGGACCTGGATGAAATCAGCTGTGCCGGAAATACCAACTGCTGGAAGCTCACTGAATACCCTAACCCTGCCTACAAGGGCCCGGCAGATGATGATTGCTCATGTGACGAGAACGAGCATGAGGTCCCCCGCACTCTGGTCAAATTCGAAACTTTCCAACTACACCCATCAGACTTTGGTCTGCCAACTCATCCTTTGACTGCCGTATTCGGAAGAAAGATGCCCAAAGATAATGCAGCCAAGATTATGAGCATCCTGCGAAATGAACTGCCTCGCGATGATCCAATCCTCTCCTTTGTCCTTATGAATGTCGCTGCCCTTCTGGTTATTTCGGGTGTCTGTGAAGCTGACACTAGTAACATGGGACCCGGTGATGATGGCCAGGTGATTACCGAACGTGGACCAGGTGGTGGGCGCTGGAAGGAGGGTGTCCGGCGAGCTAGATGGGCCGTCGAAAGTGGCGCAGCCCTTAAGTGCTTGGAAGGATTTATTGAAGTGACGAACAACCTTCAGTGAAACATTTCTTTAGCAGTAGTTTAGGTTCTCTCTTTCTCTTTTCTTCTTTTTAAAGAATATGTTCAGAAATTGGCAAGGTAGAGGTATAGGGACATGTGTATTGAATGACGAAATTAATAACTTTACTCATGGAAAACTTCAACACGAGTACCTTCCGCCGATGCACAGATATAATGAGTCCCTTTCAACAAAGGTCATCTGCAGAACCATCGCCGCATCGCAATATTTAATTTTTTTTTTTTTTTGTCCCATCAAACTCCAAAGCGCCACCTGAATGCATATCACGATACGATCGTAAAAAAAAATTATAAAACCAACGTCGCGCAACCGTTCTATCCCATATTCACCGAGCTTCGAACTGAACCATTCTGTAGAACCAAACAAAGTCAGCAAACACCCAGTTAAAAACTTTGTCAAGAACAAAAAAAAAACCCCCACCTCTTAGTCCTTTCCTTGTACAACACACGATGACCGCATTCCTTGCAGCGGATCTGGTCACCCCTCTTCAGCGAGACACGAGCGTTGCACTCGCCGCATAGATAGGCAACCATAGGGCCATCCATGGAGCCAGCACCGGAGTCAAAGGCATTCTGTCCGCCCAAAGAGGAAGGAACCTGGTAAGCTTCGCGAGACATGGTAGGTAGGTGTCTTTCGACGTTTGTCTCTTTGAGAATATTATGGTAAGCGGGTATGGGCGACGGAGGTGCTGTCTCGCGACTTGGATTGTGAGCTGAAGGGAAACTGGAATGCGGGTTTTGAGGAGCTTTGGATTGTTCTGGATATTCTTTGCGCAAACCTAATTTTGCTGAGTCAGGCTTTGGATTTGATGACGGGCAATCTGGGACTAGCCCTTTTTGGGCTAAGGTGCTCCTGACGGTACCTTAAGCTCCGGTCCTTATCAATGTCAGTATCTACTCAGGTTCTTCTTTGTCTGTTATAGATTACGCCAGCATTGAAACGAACTAGTTAAGCCAGTGGAGTTGAATAACGAGGTGATGGGGTTTTCCTAGCTCTTTCAAAGCAACGCGGAGATGGCTGCACTGAGCCACATATTTCCACAAGGGACTCAGTCTCATATATAACAGCATTCTGAATATTCAAACGGGCGAATATCCAACGACATCTTAGCTATGGATAAGTGTGGACTAATCGAAGCCATTCTTTGTATATCTGCTAATCATTGTTATGTCTATGTTCCCTGTCCTGGTAGCACTAAATACAATGTACAAGCTACTACAGGGGGTCACTGATCTCTTTTCTGCGCCAACCGTGCATTCCTTCTCATTTCAATGTCACCTTGGACAAGCCACTTGCTGGCCTCTAGTAACTGAGCCATGTTCACATATTGCTTAAAGAGCATAAATGGCGTCGAGACATAAAGTAGGCACCATGGAACAGTTTCGTCTAATTTATTGGCACTGAGATCGATGTAAGTACATGTTACGTCTCAGGGTATATTAGCCGCTCAAAATCTTACCGGGCCATGTCCATTGCCCCAGCACTCCAAGAGGAGCTCCATAGTGTTGAAGGATTGGATTGTGATACCTTGAAGCTCGCATTGTCCAGCGACGATGGCGACGACGAGAATGAGAGCAAATACAACGCAATGAAGAAGAGCTCATTCAGCGCGCACACCGTAAAAAGGACTTTCTACATATTGTTAGTTTTGCGAAGAAAGTACGAGTGGGCCAACGCCAACATACTGTGTTAGAGTAGTAGATTCGCATGACCCATGGCCGACTCTCATCGATCTGTTTGTGGCTCTGACGGTTTCCACCCATTGCCAAGGTCGCATACATATGGATATAGTGGCTTGAATAGTCCAAGCTAATCAAGCCCTGAAAGATAATACTCCACCTGGGAAATGCGCTCGCCAGGAAAACTAGCAAGCAATTTGTTGTACATCGGTCTGTAATCATATCCAGAACGGCACCGAATCGCGTTGATTGCCCTAGACGCCGGGCTACGGCTCCGTCTAGGGCATCAAGTATACAAGAGACGCTATACAATAGCGAACATGTTCGTGGGTGGAGGGGCATGTAATAGAGGGATGTGACGGCGAGAACAACACGGGTATATCCTAGAAACTTTAAGAACTACTCAAAGGTATCTCGTCACCAATAAAAGGAACATGCCGATCAGGTTGTGTACGAAGAGGAAAACGTTCTCATCATGATCTTCATGCCGTCCAGCAACGTCTTGTGCCGAATGGCTAGCCAAGTGGGAGGACTTTCTCGGTGTTATCCGGTAAATGGATCAAGAGAATTCTGGTAGATCGGACTTACAGTAACGTCGATTGATTGGACTCGGAGCATCTATATTATAACATAGAATCTATAATGAATGGTTGGTCCACGCGCTAAAAAAAAAAAAAAAAAAAAAAGACGTAAGATATTATATACTGGGGTCCTTTGTCCTTGTCCCGTGACAGGCATAGTGCCAACGGTAGGCCCCGAGGCTAAAATCGGACCCAGTGTCCGCAATACAACATCAACAACGATTCATTCACTCGTAACAAGAGATCGTTGTCTTCAATGAAAAATTGCTAGTCTCTACAGAGTACCTATTAGACCTATTAATATGACCGTTCATAACACCAAAAGGGCAAGGGCTGGTGCCTGCTCGACTTGCCGGTAAGTGCAGCAGTATAATCCCTCCCGTCGGTTGATGGGTTGACATAAGGATAGCACTGAGTGAGCCTCGAATTTAGCACCCGAAAAAGACGATGTATTCCAGGGAATAAAGGAGATAGTTGTCAGCTTTGTCACTTGCTGTCGGTGCCCTGCAGCCTTGATCATGCTACAAGGCCAGCCAGAGTGGCAGTTCAATCGGCATCAATGAGGGAGAATCCCACACCTGGTCGAATGCCACTATCATGGGAACCGGACTTTTCGGAAGCACTGAAGACACACGAAGTCTTACATGAATTAGTTGGGTTGTATTTTCGTCATATTCATAATATTGCCCACACCATGTTTCACGAGCCCAGTTTCATGCATCATATGAAGGAAGGTACAGCATCCATGAAACATGTCTATGGTATGTGTGCATTAGCTGCCAGGTATGTTCTTACGCACTCAAACTAGTTGATCACTAGGCTACTCAGACCGATGACTGTGGATTAACAGGTTCTCTAAGAACCCGATTTTCCATGACATCTCGCCTTGCTCCCGTGGAAAAGTCTATGCCTTTCAGGCCATGCGACTTTGTCGCCAATGTACGGATACTCCAAGCCTGGAGACAATTCAAGCATTGCTTTTGATTGGATATTTTTTTAGTGGTGAAGCTGATAATCAGAGAAAACACATATATGTTGGACTCGCGCGGCTACACGCCGAAGCTCTGTCGCTCTGGGGTTCTCCCACGCACTCAAGTTCTAATGCGGTAAACCGAGAGGAGTATCGCCGAACTTGTTTCTCCGTTCGGATTGCCACCCACTGGTCCGCTTCTGACATGTTCATGGAGCCTGAGGATACGTGTCACAGCTCAGAAATGGTTCCAGAAATAGATGATGTACTCTTCCATACCCTGACTTCCGCCGAGTTGCTGCGGAAACCCCAATTAGCACCCACCTTTCGGTGTGACATGTGGGCTCAAATGGCACGGACACTTGATATCTTTACCAAAATTAATGGATTGTTGAGACAGCTCAGCCGACGCGCGATTACCCTCGAAGGCTATTGCCGAGAGGCGCCTTTACTGGAGGATCGTCTTAACCAATGGTACGAGAATTTACCGGAGCACTTGACCTACAGCTACGACCACCTCATTTTCTTCTTGGAGAGGCACCTTGGCCGAACATTTTTGTCCATGCACATTGGATACTATCATTTTCGCCAAATGCTCTTCTTCCCCTTCCTTAAGGCGGGTGCAGGTCGAGAGGCAACCTCCACCGAACCTAAAGCATCCAAGTGCAATGAAAGCGCGGCTACAGTTTCGGAGATCTTAAACTATGCTACTAGCCTTGAGAATTGTGAGTTGGACTACTTTATTTATGGGCATATTGCTGTGGTCAGCTCTTGTGTTCATCTACACTCTTTACTCTTTAGCGATGATCTTTCGGAGCTCTTTATGGCACGGCAACGACTCATTCTCAATTTTAAATTTTTGATGAGAGTGAAATCATATTGGCCTATAGTTGACTCCTCTGTAAGCTCCTTCCTTACTGAGCGTAATATATTGTCTCTGTTTCTTTCTATCTAGTCATTTAGAAGACCTTGAATGTTGATCGAAAAGGCTGATGACGAAAATATCTTAGGTGTCTCGTCTACGAACTTTCCAGAACTCTTGCCGTAACTCCATATCAGATCCGTTTGTTCTAGATAATTGGATGGCCCGTTTCCTTACAGAACATTCTTCTTCGCTTGCAGAGAGACAGACGCACGACTCAGTGTCATCCCGTTTCGGGGTTGAAAAGCTATCTACGCAGCCTGCTGAATATAGTGAGGAGCTTCCTGGTATCACACAAAACTCAGGCATTTTAAATGCCCCCAACCCTGTGACACTAGAAGGATCTCAATCGAAGGAGCCTGAGAATGCCTGGGACGGCTTGTCCTATCTTATGAATGACCAGAGCATCACTAATGAGGCTCTTGCTGATAATGCAATTGACTGGCTATTGAGAGACTAGGAAGAGTAGGCAGTCGTAAAGGTGAAGTGATAGTCAATTTGTTAGACAAGCATCGATGACTGGCTACAATATCAATGTTGATACTAGGGGAAAGAATACGCTAACCTTTTCCACCACATAATCATACAACCGCTTCCACATGAGTAGACTTGGTGTCCTTCGCGTCCGCGATGCTTTGTCTATCATCCATGTCCTTGGTTTCATTCCCAGTATTCAAAGCAGAAGGAGGGTCACCAAACAGCTCAGCAATCTGTTCCAATGTTTTGGCTCCAGTCTCTGGAAGAAAGAAGAAGTAAATAAAAGCAGCCACAAAGTTCGTGGCAATGAAAAGTGAATAATATCTCCAACTGACATTCTCCAGCGCGGTTGGTGTGATCTGCGATAGGACGATTGCTGCGACGGATTTGGCGAACACAGCAAGCCCAAGCCCGTTCGAGCGAAGAAAAAATGGGAAGAGTTCTGAAGGGACAACCCAGACCATCGCATTGAAGAAGACTGCATAAGCGCAGGAATAGAGAAAGATCATTGCGATGGCTGCACGGGCACCACTGAGATCGCCACCACTTTGGTCTCCGTACACAGCTGATAACGCCATGCAGATGGCAATCAATACCGACAGAAACAGTGAGCCTGTCCACAATGTGCGAGTGCGTGGCCACTTGTCTGCTACCACGAAGAGATAGATGATCTGACCAATGACGCCCATGAAGCCATAAATGCCACTGATCAAAAGTGAAGTTTTTCCGGTGAACCCTACTGTCTCATAAAAGCTGGTCTGGTAATTTTGAATGACCTGAGACCCGCTAAACTGACTCATGACAACAATGAAACACGCGATGAGCGTGCGGTGAAGATAACGACGGGAAAATAACTTGGCACAAGCAACATGAAAGCTTGTAACCTCAGTTGCTTCTGCCTGTATCTGTTCCCGGATCTGTGCGAGTTCTTGAGACAAGGAATCCGCATCCCTTTCAGATCCTTGGAGCATTGTTAGGACGGTACGGGCTTCTTCATAGCGCTCCTCTTGGATTACTAGAGGAGGTTGATAGTTAGACTCTTGCTTTGAAGGGAGGTCCCCTACAAGACGATATGGAGTGACTTACACCAACGAGGGCTATAAGGTATAAAGCAACACCCAAGGGCCAACAGCAGAGGACCAGGGAGCTGCATTGCCAACGGAATTCGCCATTGGGCGTCATCCTTGGCAAAGGCGCCCCCATAACCGATCCAGTTGGCTATGCAGAAGCCAATGGCAATCATGAAGCCCTGTAAGCCAACAATGAATCCACGTTGATGGGGAGGGGACGCTTCGGCGATATAGATGGGAACGACAGTCAAAAGCATGCCGCAGCCGATTCCAGCGAAAAATCTTCCTGCAATCATCATTCCTGCATTGACAGCGGCGCACTGAAGAACAGCACCGATAATTGCTGGATAAACACATTCACTTAGCAATAGGTTCAATCAGCATAGCAGTAACAAAAGTTGAAGGGCTATGGTCAGAGTACGCAAAGGGGCCAAGAGGACACTTACCTACTACAGCACTTCCGCAAATAGTCCATCGCCTACTAAATTTGTTGGCCGAATAACCTGCTATGAATGTACCGAGAGCCTGACCAACATTGTACAAGGAAACAATGGCCCCTAGCAAAGTATGTTGTTAGTGCCATATCTCTCGGACATCTGAAAAGGACACAGAAAATGAAGCAGAGATATGTTACTTGCCTTTCAATCCTGCATTCTCACCGGTTGGTCCGAACATGGCATATTTAAAAGTATCATGGCCCAAGGTTGTTGCGATAATCCCTGGTAATTGTCAACGACCATCGATACCCTCCCATTAGATTCAATGAAGGCGTACCTGAGTCCACCCCGTATACGAAGCCTCCTAGAGCCACCACCAGTGTGATCAGGACAAGGTTAAGGGAAAGCATCTCTGCAATATCCAAGTGAGGGTAGCCTGTTTGTTGCATACATGGACTCGCTGTACCCCGAATCTTCCGGTCCTCTTTATATACTGTGGACTCTGCCTTCTCCGCTTAGGTATAGAGTCTATTCTGTCTATGCGCCGACTAATGACTATACTATCAGTACCCCATGGGGTAACCTTAGTCTTGATTCGGTTACTACGGTTAGCCCTAATCGGCAACCCTGCGGGGAGCGGCGGCGACTCTCCAATGAGAAGCCGAAAACGCCGCCAGCATTCTAAAGTATGTCCCACTTGCACTTCAGATGCATGGTTCACCTGCATCTTGGGTCTCGCGTTTGCCCTCCAGCTCTTCGTCTAACTGGCCACATGGCATGCATCTTGGTCCATAATTTCGGGATCTCGGACGAATATGCTGCGAGGCGACCCATACATCGGCAATAGACACATCGACCGTGTACTTATGAGAACCTTATAAGAACGGACAACGAGGGTAAATATGAAGGTCCAGGAGTACTTCGCTTCCCACACTTGTGGAATATCTTAACTTATTTTTTTCTTTCCTACTATCGCCTATATTCACCACGTACTCTCATTATGATAGGCCAACTGGCTATCGCACCTCCCTCAGCCGAACAACACCCGACTGGCTTTGGTGTGGGCCACGCGACTCCCCGCCTATCCTGGCGATTCCTTAACGCAGAAGAGGACTGTCCGCTAGGATGGGAGCAGACTTCGTACGAAATCCAAATTTTTCGGTCCCAAGATTCACCCATAGAGACATATGAAGTGGCCAGCGATAAATCAGTCTTGGTGCCTTGGCCAAGCTCCCCTTTACAGTCGCGGGAAAGTGTTCAGGTGCGAGTCCGAGCTCACGGGACATGTATTAAGAAGACTCAAGCGGAACCTACAAATTGGTCTCCTTGGTCTACGATTGAATGTGCCCTGCTCTATCGTCACGACTGGAAGGGCCTTCCCATTGCCAGTCTAGAAGCTCCACCTCATGACACCCCACTACGGCCAGTACGATTTCGCAAATCCTTCCATATCTCGGGCGCAGATGCTATCAGTCGGGCTCGTTTGTACATCACCAGCCTAGGAGTATATCGCGCCTTTATCAATGGTCAGGCGGTGGGCGATCAATGCATGGCTCCTGGGTGGACAAGCTACCGGCATCGCCTCAATTATCAGGTGTTTGACGTTGCAGCTCTGCTAAATGAGAGCGGACCAAATGTAATCGCGGTCGAGGTGGGCGAAGGATGGTATGCTACCCGTCTAGGATTTCGTGGGGGCCGCCGAAAACTATATGGCGATAAGTTAGCGGTGCTGGCCCAGCTAGAGGTGCAGTCTGAGCAGGACAAGTCCTTTTCATTGGCCACAGATTCTACCTGGACTTGTCAGCCAAGTGCAATCCTGCAGAGTGAGCTGTATGATGGCGAAATCTACGATGCGAGAGAGGAAAACCCTAATTGGAATAATGCTCTTGAGGGTATGGATTCTTCTTGGAATCCCGTGCAGGAGCTACAGTTCCCTTCAGCAACTTTGGTAGCTCCGGATGCGCCACCCGTGCGCGTTACAGAGGAGGTCAAAGCGGTAGAAGTTCTACACACTCCATCAGGAAAGACCGTTGTTGATTTCGGTCAGAATCTCGTCGGTCGGTTACGCGTCCGCTGCATAAACAAACCCGAGGGAGAGAAAGTCACCTTCACACATGCGGAGGTCCTAGAGCACGGTGAGCTAGGAACTCGCCCATTGCGAGCCGCAAAATGTAGGGATGAGTTTATCTCTGCGGGAAAAGAAGTCACAGATTGGACCCCACAACATACCTTTCACGGATTCCGATATGTACAAGTAGAGGGTTGGACTGATCAAGATCCACCCTTACTTACAGCCCTTGCGGCATTGGTAATGCACACTGACATGACTCGCAGTGGCTGGTTTCAATGTTCGCATCCAATGGTTAACCAGTTGCATCAGAACGCCTGGTGGAGTATGCGCGGGAACTTCCTGTCAATTCCAACGGACTGTCCCCAGCGAGATGAGCGCCTTGGTTGGACTGGAGACATTCAGGTTTTCTGCCCGTCGGCGAATTTTCTCTACGATACAGCCGGAATGCTGGGACACTGGCTGGAAGATGTGGCTGCAGAACAGCTTAAAGACGGTAACGGCTGTGTTCCACCACTCGTGGTACCAAATGTGGTCAGCTCAGAGTTGTGGCCGCATCATGTGCCTCAAGCAATTTGGGATGATGTAGTTGTCTTGACCCCTTGGACTCTCTACCTCTCTTACGGGGATACTGACATTCTCCGCCGACAATATGCCAGTATGCTAGCCTGGATCGACCGAGGAATTCAACGGGGTCCCGATGGGCTCTGGGATCCCCAAGTGTGGCAGCTAGGAGACTGGCTAGACCCAACAGCACCACCAATTGAACCAGGAGACGCCCGAACGGATGGCACACTAGTTGCCGATGCCTATTTGGTCCATGTCACTTCAGTCATGGCTCAAATCAGTGAGGTCCTAGGCGAAACGACAGACGCCACCCGATTCCAGGCCGACTCTAACCGACTGAAGGCAACATTCCAGGAGAAGTATATCGCTCCGTCAGGCTTACTTGCTGGAGACACCCAGACAGCACTAAGCCTGGCACTCATGTACGACCTCCACTCCACAGCCGATCAGGCCATAGAAGCTGCAAACCGACTAGTTCGCCAGGTCCGCCAAGCCAAGTTCCGAGTAGCCACGGGGTTCGCCGGTACCCCTATCATCGCCCATGCACTGACCAAGACCGGCCATCACCAAATCGCCTACCGCATGTTGCTGGAGAAGAGCCGGCCATCCTGGATGTACCCGATCACCATGGGAGCAACCACCATATGGGAACGCTGGGACAGCATGCTCCCCGATGGATCCATCAACCCGGGCGAGATGACCAGCTTCAACCACTACGCTCTCGGCTCCATCATCAACTGGCTCCATTACAGCGTGGCTGGCGTGCGTCCTATCGCTCCCGGATGGAAGCAGTTCCGGGTTGAACCCATCCCCGGCGGTAGTATCGATTCAGCTGAAGTCGCCTATGAAACCCCCTACGGACGGATAGAATGTCGATGGACCTTCGACGCGACTGAGGATCGCTTCAGTTTGGATCTGTTAGTCCCTCCGAACTCGCGCGCGCTTGTCATCCTGCCCAGCGAGGAAAGATGGGAAAGGAGGGTTGCCCTGAAGGCCAATGATGAAGACGGTACATGGATCGGGTCTGGGCACCATCAGTTCTCATGCCGATGGAGTGTGGAGAGTCAGCGTGGTGGGTGGCCTCCTAAACCCATTATTCCGATCATGCGGAAGCCGGGGCCGGAGACCATTGCTTGATACGGATATATAGACTTGGCTCTTTACCTTTAAACATACATGTTAGCGATAGAATTGAATGCAGTACATAGTTTCTGGAGCGGCAATCTAAACGCACGATGTCCATGAACTATATTATGATTTCAAGACAAATCCCAATGAATTCAAAGTACACACCCCCCTCTCGCCCCCCTACTGGATGCTAAAATACTTTAATCTCCTGGCATAAAGGAACGAGTTTGCTGGGCACAGACAAAAGTGTAACAGCGACATAATCTTAGAATTCGATGACTATCTATATGCTAAAATCGTCACAAGAAGACAGCATATTCATATCTCTAAAAGGCAGGCATCTATGCCAATGCAGCCTCCAAATCCATCACACTGACTGTAACCTTATTCGACTCTCCTTGAAGCACACCACCACCGTTCAGCAAGAGATAGTTCTCCTTCTCCTGCAAGATGCGCAGCGACCGAGTATAGCTCGCGCTCTCTGGGGTAGAGATCTCCGTCCACTCGCCTTCACCCAGGGCCTGGTTGACAAAGACAGAGCCCAAGTTGCCGCAGCTGACAACAAGGGTGCCATTGTCACCTCCGAAGGGAGTCCACACATTGTAAGGGGAACCAGTAGGCTGAGTGCCACTTGACACGACGAGCTTCTGGTGTGGAGCCGCGAGGAAGTTCTCGGGGTCCGCTGAGATCCTGTAATAGACAGGGAAGGAATAGTCGGAGGTGCCGAAGTATGATCCATATTCGTATGTCATGATGAATTCACCGGTTGGCAGCTGTTGAAACGGAAGTCAGTGGTGTAAATGAGCGAGAGAAAGACAGGAACGCACCTTGGTGACAACGGGCATACCCGGGCGATCAGTGTAGGTAGGATATGTACTGAGAACAAACAGGTCATGTCAGCCATGGATATCTTCGGTTGGGTCGAAAAGAGCTTGCCAACTTACACATCGTCGATTACATCACCCCAGTTCTTCAGGTCGGTGGTGGTTTGGTGAACGAGTTTCTGGCCATACGTTTCGTTGGCTCTCTGGTCCGAGTAGTAGCAGATCAACTTTCCATTGCTATTGAACGAAAGTTAGATACTGTTCAAGGATAATACACGATCTAGTATCACACTTACTGAGCAAGAAGGAATGGTTCCCAGACTGGGGTCAATCCGTTGTTAGGAAGCGCTTCACCGCCAGCAGCGATATGGCTCACGAACTCCCATGTGACGCCAGAGTCGCGAGAAGCATAAAGATCGATTTGCGTGGTCGCGAGGTCTGTTGGGATGCTGCTCCCAGCTAACAGGATAGTACCAGCCTCGTACGATCCAACTGACTCTTCCAGGTAGTAAAGGAACGGCTGGTAGCGCAGACCTAGTCCATTGGCTGTGTCTTCTACGCGAGACAATTCGCTCCAGGTCTTACCGCTATCGGTTGAGCGATAGATTGGGAAATAGACCGCTGGTGGCTCGGGCGAGTAGTTTTCCCAGGTCGCTAATAGATCTCCATTGGGTAATTGGAGGTTGCGAGCGTAGAGGGTACGAGGAATGACATAGTCGGATGGCGGACTGAAGATGGTCACCTCGGAGAAAGTAGTTGGGGTCTCGGCCCTGGGGATGCTCGCCGCGAGAGCCAACGGGGCGGCTAGAAGGAAACGTAAGAAGCGCATTAGTGAAGATTGAGATTCTATACAAGTCTAGTCAAAAGCATACTTCTCTCGTAGCAAGGACATGGGCTTTTAAGCTGCCTTTTATAGCAGTACGTTGATTCTCATGGCCGTTGGACTGGAGTATTTCCCCAGACCCCAGATCGATGTTCGTGCTTGTGTGGGGAAATGCCATGAACTCATCCCACCGGAAATACTCCAAAAATGGCCGCGACAAGTCTTTTGGTCTTGTATAGCTTCATGAAAACCCCACCAATCGCACAGCTGACCAGGAGCAATGACCATCATGGAAATGCATCTAGGAAGTTGAACGTGGTTAAATGGTGTCATACTATTTCCCTGGTGATCGGAGAACATACGCAATCCAAGGTCTTCCATATTGGCGAGTGGGACACTGCCTGACGTATGAGGTTTTCTTTCGGGATCATGCAATGCTTTTGTAGCTTCTACTATCTTCTTCGGGGCAGTCCAACTGTCTTTTCCTGCGATACTGTCTGAAGATGCTCAGGTGGAGGTTGATGGGAGAACAGCAAACAAACATACATTCAGTGTCACATGTCAACACCTGATCTCTCACATGAAGTGGTTAATTGTAATACTAGTATGACTAAGACGTGGGAGCATTGGATTGTTTCTCATAGGATTCTTGTTCCATCTATAATATCATGTTCAAAGCCATGCTACACCTGTATCAGAGGTTAGAACTATTTTTATGATCGACATGTTTAGATTATATATTTGCAAGTGTTTATCTACAAGAGATTGGGATATTAGGACGGCTCTATAGATGTGAAAGCTGATTTCCCCTCATTCTTGCGCTGGTTCGTTAGACATACGGTTAGCCAATACGCTGTCTTGTAGTGTGTCCAGTGCATTATCCAGAGCCCAGCCTAGATATATATTCAACCATGGTAAACTGGGGGCAAGAACTTTTTGAACATTTAGCTTATAAAGGTTGGCTTATAATATTAAATAACAAAAATAATCTCAATCTCAATCCTCGATGGTCTAACGGTCATGATTTCCGCTTGTCATCCCTTATAGGAACAAGCGCGGGAGACCTGGGTTCGACTCCCAGTCGGGGAGATCTTTTTTTGTTTTTCTCTCTTTTTCCGTGATTTTCTCCCCATTACTCGCCCTTCCTTCTACTTAGGCTTACTCTCTGGGTCCAATATTAGCTGTTCCAATCGTGGATTACCGTCCACTTTGTACCACAGCAGCGCGCTTGATCCTATTATCCCGGCTCTGGGCCTTCTACTCACCTTTTAATCACCACAAGTACCACTGGTATTGGAGCGGGACTCTGTGCAAGTATTCTACCATCAAGAACTACCGCTGAGCTGTGATATATTGCGCGGGATTCATGCTACTCGTGGCCTGTCTAACCTTTCTACGCGGAAGATACCCCATGTAGGGTCATTGATTGATGGTTCATGTGTAAATCTTAATATCTCGTGGTAACCTTTAGCTATCAATGCCACTAGGACGCGGCTCGTAAGCAGCTAGAGGTGGTCAGAATAGAGAGTTTAGCCAACCTCGAAAATCCCCATAGACGCATAAACCAGCCGCTATACTTGGCTGGTACTTCCACCCCTACTTCTTGAGCATGTTCTCCCCAGCAACCTGAAAAGCGTAACGAAACAGGCCAAAAGTGCCCTAAGCGAGGTGTTACACCTATATGAGTCTTGTATACATACCTATGAAGGAAATAGAGGGAAGTTATCATAGAAGAATTAACGACTCCGGCAAAGTTCGCAGCCTTCGACAACGTCCAGAAAGACATCCCGAGAGAGTATTGCCATGTAATATCGTTGTAGTAGAGGCCTTATTAGATTAGGTACATTCATTGCAGCAATTCCTTGGCAATTGGCGAAAATTCGACCCCATGGTAAACTAATGAAGCCTAATAACGTACACTCTCCTATAGTGCGAAGCCTGGGGGATAGATAAGACAATTTCCACGTCCTCAATACATCCTGCAGGCAGTTATCGAATCGAACTAGCCCGGTAGTTCCCAATATACTCCTTTAACAAGAAGCCTATATGAATATGGTAGAAATTTAACCCAAGGCAACACTAGGAGTTTGATAACTCGACTAATGATCCCCAGCGAGGATAACATGGGTGATAAGAAAACAAAACCAAAATGAGGGCAAATGAGAGCTTTTCTCAAACAAAGTCAGGAATCTAGCACCATCTAAGGGGACAACCACGAAAGGAACCAAAAACAAAACAAAAAAAAGGGCCACCGTACTCCGTATGTACGCAGGAAAAAAAGAATCTCCCCGACTGGGAGTCGAACCCAGGTCTCCCGCGCTTGTTCCTGTAAGGGATGACAAGCGGAAATCATGACCGTTAGACCATCGAGGATTTCATATGTTACGAGGCTTCTGTTTTTGAAATTCCAAGCTAGCGAAGTATGACACAACTCTATATTCTCAGTAGACCTTTTCAAAATCCAAGATCCAAGACAGAGACTAGAGTTTAGCGGGCATTTTGAGAGTTGTACAGTTCATAAAGGCACTAAATGATTTTTAAACAGATTTAGATCAGGACCAAGAAGAATTGTCGTCCAGCTATATACTATACTTTACTCTCTCCTCCTCACTCGCCCCAAGGTCAACATAAATCAGTCCCTGTACCTGAACACATTCCTTTCTGATGCTCCATCTTTGCCCGCCATCCCTATACAAGAAAGCATTATGGAATGCACCGTAGAGTATTGTAGACTCACTGCTTAGAAGAATAGCTGACACTGGGCAGACTGTGAAATAACATATGCTGTGAAGAAAACAAGCTCCATGAAGCAACTGCCCGAAATACTTACTATAGCGTGCCTCAAAGAGTATGCTCCCTGGATTGCTGCTCTGGTTTATATAACATATATGAGGATCCTTTATCTCATTACTAATCCTCGATGGTCTAACGGTCATGATTTCCGCTTGTCATCTCACACGAGAACAAGCGCGGGAGACCTGGGTTCGACTCCCAGTCGGGGAGCTTATGTTTTTGTTTTGCTTCAAAATTCTTTTTGTTTTCTGGTCAATTGTTGGAAGATCTAGTTGCTGAACAGTCTTTCCACTGTTGTGAAAAGTTGCGAGAGCCAACGATAATTCACTACAATGGACATGTATTTTCCGGTCGACAACGCCAGATGTGCCCTGATATAGAAACGGAAAGGAGACTTTCTGCCACAATACTAGGAAGTGATTACTCGCAGAACTGGACGCTTTTGGCTCGTTAAAAGCCCAAGTTATTGAATTTCTGGCCAATTAGGCTATATTGTTGCTCCCGTGCGACTCGGTGGTCTTGGAGCTTTAACAGCGCAGCATAGAGATTCATTATGTTAAGTTAATCCTGTTGATCGATAGAAATAGAGCAGGATTTATATTTAGCGTCCCAGACATAGGACAGAGCGTGGCATGGATAATATATACTCTTGGCCAAATTCTAATATAGAATAAATCCTAATGGACATTCTATTCGGTAGTAGATGGAGGATGCGAATTGTAGTAGGTACTCAGGGGAGTGAACCGTAGCGGTACTGAGACATGACTTGTGGTTAACCAGGCTAGTGCGGCATCCAATACCTACTCGTGTTAAGAAATCAAAGTATTAGATAAATTGGGAGGCCTGAGTAAGATGAGGGATATGCTCGACTCCTGTATGGAGTATGGTCTTCAGCATACCCACTACAGTATGTATATCACTAGATTCACGACGGGAAACGAGTACTTTATATATACCGCTTACTGGGTAATCTTTATAGGTCCAAGATCTGCACAACTTATGCACAGTCCATATAATTTGTATAGTGCATGTTACTATGGTAACTATAGAGTTAATCTCTTTTGTTTAGTTACACAAACCAGAAGCCTATCAAACAGTCTGGTCAATGCACGAAAGTCAAGCCAGGAGTAAGAGTTCATACTTGCACTAAATGCATTACTTAGTCAAAAGAAAAAAGAATAAAACAAAACTTATGCGCATTTTAAGGCAACCACCTACCGTGAACAGGCAGACAAGACTGGCCATTTCAACAAGCATAACATTTGAACAAATCTAGTCGCAGTCATTCTGCCATGAACCTCCAGCTACAACCCGGGTATAGTATCTCAACTCTAACTCTAAGCTGTGATTCCCTTTAAAACTCAATATTATCCCGTCATCCACATCATGTCAGCGACCATCCTCTCCTCGATAGTTGATCTCGACGAGCTAATCCCTAGACCCGAGGACATCGACCGCGAAGGTAGTACTCCGTGTCACCCCCATACGTCTAATAGTACGTTTTATAGATTACTGACAAACAACCCAAGACAAGGACGTAGAACAATTGACCCCCTGGATATTCCGACAAACCGATATCGCAAAAGGAAATTGTACGCGTGATTGGCCGCGACAAGATGATTCTTTTCGCAGGCTGTTCCACCTTCTTGATTCCTACTATGTCTTCATTGATTGCCATGGAATGGCCGATGGATGCGATTCTAGAAACGCAGGGATTGCAAAGGCCTTGAAACCAAGCGAGACAATCACCCTACCTAGAAAAAACTGGAAAGTATCTGAGAGAGAATATCACCGAACCTTCATCATGTCGCAGGCAATGATGTTAGATGCGCTGATGACGGATGTTTATCGCAATCTTGAAGGTATCGAAAACCAAGGTCTTGATGTTAAGTGTGTTTGCCATTTCATCCTTCCGGTTGGGAGTCTCTTATGCTAACTACCTTCTTTCTTGAAGCTTTACTGCTTTGAATTTCAAGACGCTTTATGTGATTGGTCGTAAACAATATGCTACTAAGCCGGAGGGCGCGGTCATGGTTGGGCCGAGAACTGAGCACTTGCCAATTATATCGTATACCGGGGTATGTACAATCCGCATACCCATAGCTTCTTCTGCCCTACATTCGGTGACCACCCGTCTAAAACTCTCCAGTGGTATGAGAGACAAAACTGGAACGAGTTCCTCGGAGAGACCCTCAGTGTAATGCTGGGACAACTTGCACAAAATATGACCATTCGAACCGGCAAAGCTGGTGTTCAAGACCAAGAAGCCTTCGTGGTGGGGTTTCATGGGCCCCATGTTCATATCGCTCGGGCATTCTTTGCCGCTGATTTAGTTGCGAGAGTACACCCAAGAGGATGTTCACGTGACGAAGTTATTGAACTGAAATTCACACGTGGCTATGACCTCTCTCTGAAGAGAGATTGGCTCGACGCTACACGTGCTTTGGCGAGGCTGTTCCGATATCTTCTCAGTGGACGTGCAAAGGTTGCTGCGATACAGGGCTACTTGAACAGGCCATCTAATACAGCAGGGAAAAGTATGTAGGCTGCTTGGTATTGTCTTTAAACTATGTTCAAGAGGGTATTGGCCTGGAGCTATACTTGTTATTAACTCCCAAGACTAATCTATGCCACGTAGCGATATGAAAAGGTTTCTTTATAATCTTTCCGCTGGTGTATAGTAGAACACATATATTTTCCTTGATATGTCTCTTAGCAGAGTGTACTAATCGAGCACGAAGAGAAGAAATTAGAATCTACGACTTTAGTTATATTCTTGCTATCCGACGATTCGCAGTATCTTGCCATTCACCCAGTTTCTACTGTCACTTTTCAAGTTGTATATCTCTGAATGATAACGATGAAAACTTTCAAGTAAAAAGACAAGGCACACACACACACACACACACATATATATATACTAACCAATACAACTATAAACTTCAATCCTGGTTTGTATATGTACGGGAACGTTACATTTTGTATTACGCTAACAGGGGTACAGCCGACAACAGGGTCCACTCTGCAACAACATCTTCCAATGCAAATGTGTGGCAGTACATACATTAGTACATCAACCCTATTACTCTCTCTTCTGAGTCACACTTCTTCATCAGAGCACTGCCACTGTCTACAGCAGCATATCTACCCTCAAAAGGCTAAAAGATCCCCGAATTATTAGAATTCCCTACTCAAAATATAATCAACTCAAAAGAAACAACCCAACCCACAATGCCCCAAACCACAACAACTCAGGAACCAAGAGTAGGCATCGGCGCCTTCATCCTCAACAAGAAGGGCGAAGTCCTCCTAGGCAAGAGAAAAGGCAGTCATGGCGCAGGTGAGCCTTGTCTCTAAACTTGCCCAAATCCCGGCTTCAAGCTTCCCAAAAACGTCATTTGCATGTAAGGTTTCACTCGATCATATACCCAAACTAACAAGGTAAACTCAGGTACCTGGGCTTTAGCCGGAGGTCATCTCGAATTCGGGGAGACCTTTGAGAATTGCGCCGAACGGGAGGTCTTGGAAGAGACGGGACTGACTATCCGTAACGTCCAATTTCTGACGGCCACTAATAATGTCATGCTGGATGAGAATAAGCATTATGTGACTGTTTTTGTGAGTGGGGATATTTATGGTGATGTTCTGGAGCCCGAGGTGAGTTCATGCATGCTTTTCTCTCCTTCTTTTTTGTTGGGATGACCGGTGTATGGTGATGGGTGGGCTTATTTTTATTTTTATTTTTTTTTTTGGACAGTTGATGGAGCCAGAGAAATGCGAGGCGTGGGAATGGGTGGCTTGGGAGGAAATTGTCGCGTTGGCTCAAGACGCCATGGCTGGGAAGGAGAGTGGGGAGAAGAAAAAGCTGTTTTCGCCGCTGGTAAATTTGGTAGAACAGCGGCCTGGATTTCGTCCAGTCTTGAACTAGTAGCTGGTGCTTTTATTCGAGTGCTTTCAATCCTTCTAATGGTTGTTACGAAATCCTTTCAAAGTATATATTGGTAGTTATTGATAAATGATGATTATGAGATCTACGTTTCAAGTCACCGAAAGTTCCGCATATACTTATTGATCACTTTTTTTTTTCTTCTTCTTTTTACAAAAACAGTAGGTCATTTTATAACAATGGTTGATTTCGGAGTTTCTGCATGCTATATACAATCCCTTCTATATGAATGCTGGAATAGAACAAAAACTTGGTATCTCTCTAACCATGTAAATGCAACCAACAATATCGGACACGCAGACTTTTGGCCCACCCAAAAAGAAGATATAAAAATGAAATTTATCATGAATCCGCAGGCATAACAGGGTATACAAGTCATTAACATCACTGAACAGGAAAAACGAGCGAGTATAAGAAAGGCAACTACCAACCACCACCGATCTTCCCGGCCAACTCAACGACGCGAGTAGTATCAATAGGGGCGTCCTTGGGTTTGCCAACATCGCTCTCAACCTCACGATAAGTCGTATAGACAAGTTTCGAAAGAGGAATCTTCATCAAGTCAGACCAATGCTGGAAAGCTTCATGGACCCTAGCCTCCCTCTCAGGGATGGTGAGTGGCTGTGCCTGACCGTCCATTTCTCCTTCGGTATCAGACTCTGCAGAGAAATATGCTTCGTCGACACGAGCGAGCCAGGCCCGCTGCTCATGTGGGGTTGGCTTTGATGGGTTCTCTGCCACTGTTACGGACGGTGTGCTAGAGCTGGCTTCTCTGGCATCTTCAATACGTATCTGCCCTCCCCCATTGGTACAGCCACCGGGACATGCCATAACTTCCACGTAAGCATAATCCGTCCCAGACCCGGCAGAAGCGCCGTTTCTCGAGATTGGCTGTCGCCGATTACCGCCCGCTGAAGCTGCAGGCACTCTGGCCCCGGGAAGCCGTGATGCACGTGCAGGCTTGAGCTTCCGGACCAGATTCTGAATGTTCCTGAAACCATAATAGCGAGCGGCTTTCATGAGAGTGTCGCCTCCGGGAGACACAAGTGAATACTCCACCACATCAGCGTTTCTTCCCCTCTGGATCACAATCTCACTTCCGGGATTTTTAGCTTGGAAGGTATTAAGGACGTGATGAAGATAACCGCCAGATGTACCACTCTCCATAGACTGTTCCAACCCATTGTGCTTGCGGAACAGGAACGCGTTAAGTGTCTCATCTGGGAATTGTGGGGTAAATGATGATGCAAGAGATTTCAGCGGTAATGTAGGGAGAGAAATCCCACGGGATGAAGCCAATGTAAGTAGCTCGCGAGTGGTAATGACACAATCGACATCACGGACAGGCTGTTTGAACTCAGTTGAAGGTGCCCCACCGTTGAGCGGGGACCACGACACGTCAGTAAGTTCTTCTCGACTGGCCTCAAGCTTCTTATCAAAGCAAGGCATGATCGCGAGATGCCAAATACGGGAAGGCGGCACACCCAGAGCTTTGCTCAGCACGGTCTTCAGGAAAGTGCCCGTCAATGCTTGAGGGGACTTCAGTCGAGAAAGGTGCGGTAGTACGAAAGGGTGTGTCTTCTCAGCATAGCAAATCCATCCCGGACAGGCTGATGACAAAATTGGCCGCTTAGGGAGAGGATCTTTTGAGGTAGCTCTTGCAGATGGTTCCTTCAAAGTCTCACTAACTTCGTCTGCTGTAAGAACGAGTACTGCTTCACGCATAATGTTGGTATCAACAACCCAAGTGAAGCCGCTACCATGTTTTCCTCCAGCCCGTAAGCCATGGGGACCACTTAGAAATTGGTCGATCATGTATGTCGCTTCCTTTTCTGAGATGCCATAGGTAGCAGCCAAGCTTGCCCTCACTTGAGGGCTAACACTTGCCACGAAAATCCTTCCTTCTCCGTCAAGTGCATTGCTACTATCGATGTGAGGGCCGTTGTGGTTCTGCGTCAATGGTAATTCGGGATATGCATCAAGGGTATTGAGGACTTCTGCATGCGATTGCAAAGAGATCAGCACCGCCTCAGCGGAAGTGACGCAGCCGGAACAAGCAAGACAGTCGGTCAATGATATCTGTGCTGGGGGGAGGTTTTCAGGCTGAACTTTATCTTCCGTGGTCACTTCGTACGGGCTCTATAAGCAAAAGAAGTCAGTGCCCATCACCTTTGAATGTGAGGGGACAGGTATTGAGAATATTAAATATACCTGGGAATTTGATGACTCATTCTTCGGAAGCGTCTCTACCGGTTTGATGCAGGCAACACCTGGAGAGATGAAATCGTTCAGATCGTCTGCCGATAGAATGGCACTCATTGTGGCGGACGCTGTAGAAGCCCCGCCAGAGGATTATCAAGGGAAGAGATAACGCCACTCGGAGAAGCGCTGGGATGAATTTTCTTTAGTGCTCTTCTAAGATTCAGATCCAATATATCTAGACTGAAGTCAGAAGGGCGGATCGGTACCAGTCGTAACCCGAGTCAGAGGAGAGGAGGGGAAGAAATGTAAATGTATAGATTGGAGAATATTGAGAGGAGAATAAATCGTTAGTAATTGAATTAACAGTGAGATAGCAGTGCTTTGTCATCGTCCGTGGCGAATCTCAGGCCACGGATTAGAAGAGCACCCCGCGATCGGCGCTGATAAGCTCACCGCCCTACCCGCTTCCGCCTGATTGCCCTCGTATTTTGCCGCTCGTTCGTGTTGACAGTGACTCAGGTACAATAAAGTGTATTGAGGCTGTGACGTATAAGAAGATAGGATCTTCTCCTCTATAAAGGTGTCATTAGAAAGATTCCTTTGGAAGATTCTCTATTTGAGTTTGGCAGAAGTAGTCTTTTTCATCTTTTTTTTTTTTTCTCTGTCTTGTCTACTACGTACTCCATCTACTATCGACTCCACTACGAATATGTCCAGTTCCGAGCCTCCAATGAACCCCACCGGCTCAAATAGGAGAGCTATCTTGAGTTCAACCGCAAAGGAAACCAAGACACTCCTCCCTCAGATCTTGGCTGTGCTTCCCCATGCTCCTCCTACTGGGATTCGTTGCTCACGTGATACGCTGCCGGTGTTGGACTCAAAATATATCCCAAATCTCAACACCCAAGTGGAAGTTGTGAATGGCGACGCTTTAAATATAGCTATCAGCCTCACTAGACCCACGGACACCAGAAGCGTCTGCGTACTGAATCTGGCTAGCGATAAGAGTGCAGGTGGTGGTTGGCTTCGGGGAGCCTTGGCCCAGGAGGAAGAGCTTTGTTATCGCAGTAGTCTTAGTTTTACGCTTAAGCTACGATACTACCCTTTACGGAATCACGATGCTATTTACTCTCCAACGGTTGTTGTGTTTCGTGAAAAATTCACAGATGGACACAGATTAATGGACCTACAAAAGCCCGAGTCTCTGCCCATTGTCAGTGTGGTCAGTATGGCCGCATTGAGGAGGCCGGACGTAGACCGGAGCACACAGCCCCCACGGTACAAGCACATCGCGGATCGAGCACTGATGAAAGACAAAATGCGTGTGATTCTCCGTGCTGCAGCTTACAACAAGCATCGGAAACTTGTCCTTGGTGCCTTTGGTTGTGGTGCTTTCGATAACCCAAAGGACGAGGTCGCGAACTGTTGGGCAGAGGTGTTGCAGGAACCGGAGTTTCAAGGGTGGTGGGAGAACATTGTGTTTGCGGTTCTGGAAAACACAGGCAACCTCGCCAAAAGTAAGGGGAATTTCAACGTTTTCCACAGCAGGTTGCACGGGTTGAGAGTGTAGCCAAAGTAATAACAGAAAATGCAGTACTCCACTAAGGCATGCCTCATGAAGCGGTAGGTCAATGCTTCGTGAGGATTTTTGGTGTAAATTACATGGTTCAATTATCAAAGACCCGAGAGATTGTAAGGGCAAAGCAGCATCCCAGAGCTCATTTCTTGAGCCGAGTGGAACGCCTCCTCCCCGTAGACGATGTACCGTCTACTTCGAGTTTTTTCTCCTCTTCAGCTTTCTTGGTCGGCTTGGCTCCCTTTTTTGATCCTGCTTTCTTCGTCTTTGGCTCTTCCTCGCTTGCCTCCGCATCACTCTCAACTTTAGGCACTATTCCTCGCTTCCGTTTATTCTGCGCACCGTCCTCCTCAGTCTTGACGTCCTTCGTTACAGGGCCGGTCTTTTTCTGCACACTTGGGACCACAGCACTTGTCCTACCACCGACAGTAAGGAAAGTAATCTTATCACCATTCGGTAAAGTGGGAGAGGCAGTTTTCTTCCCTTTCGACCATCGGTATTTGAACAGCCAGTCCTCAGGAAACCTGTCGGAGTCTGCCAGCAAATCCACCGAGGTTGAGCAGACGTAATGAATGGCTGAGTGAAGTTCTTTGACTTGATCGTCAGTCAAGGTGTTGCTATATTGCTCTGGGTGAATTCTCGCATGGTAGAGAATCTCATCTCTATGTGACAGTCAGTTCCCATCCCACAATAAGTCAGCGGTTGGTTGGTAACAAACCCCATCCAATTGCCAATCCCGCTTATGTTCGCTTGGTCCAGAAGTAAAGCCTTGACGGGGACCTTCTTGCTCCTTAGCTTGCCTGCCAGCCAGTCTTCTGTCACGGTGTCCTTATCCGCCACAGGGTCTGGACCGTTCTCTTTGAGGGGGCTGAAGTTTCGAATCTGCTCCGCAGGGCAATCCACCAGTCGTATCCTGCCTAGTCTGCGGAAGTCAACAAATGCAGCCTCTGTCTTTGGGTCCTCATCCGTTTCCAGCAAGAATTTCCAGTACTTAGGGGGCCATTCTTTGTCTTGTGGCTTGTCAGTCCGGTAGTAGTATGTGTCAGCATTTCGAATTTTTAGCCAGCCTGCCATGCCAAAATGCATTACGACATGCGGCGGCGACGCCATGGCTATCCAGAAGTATTTGCCTTGCTGCCCTGCACCAACGATCTTCTTTCCCTCCATTGCTTTCTGAAACTCCGAAGCACTAGTTCCCGCTTTACCATAAACAATGTCATCATTTTGCGTAGATACCTTGGAGAGGGTCTTGCCGACAAGATGCTGGCGTATGAAATGGACGATACGTGAGACTTCGGCTAGCTCGGGCATGATGATGATAAGGTAGTTTGTACAGATGAATGTCCACTCTCAACAAATCTCTATACGGATGGATATCTATCTGGATGGAATGCTAACAAGTATCGCTTTTTGATATAATTCAAGGTACAATGCAAATGCTGAAAGGACGTTGAAGTTCTCTTACAATGGGATGAAACGCGTCACGGGTCACGAAGTCCCGTGATCGAGAGCTATCGATAAGAATCTAGCCGTTTTAGGCAAATACCTTATGATTCAATCGATCGTCCATCCAACACGAACGCCTCGGGTCTTGTCTGTGACTCTCAACTGCACATAATCCTCCACAAAGAGCCAAGCGTCATTTATCCTTGCCGAACCCCTTAGTTTTTGGTCGCATTTTATCGCAGTATCTGGCTAAGAAAACTTGTTGACCCTCGCAGGGCTTCCGGATACCATTCTATTACTCATCGTGCATCCCGCCACTTATCTACTGCTTTCGTGCACCCCTTGAACGTGGTACAATCTGGAGTGGTTTTGGACTGAAAAGGGCAAATCGGGACGGGGGTCTACAAAAGCCGAGAATCCAAAAATGTCTCGGGCAACGTCAACATCAGCTCCCGAACTGAGCCCCAAATTTTGCTTCAATGAGAGATTGCTCCGAGGTATGCGTTACTGCCAACCACCATCTAATCCTGATAGTTGAAAGCTCAAACCCATCGACCATTTCCCCTCTCCATAGATTTTCTACGTTTATCCAGATCGACAATAGATGATTCAATTACCCAGAACCTTAATGCTCTGTTCACCCCGTCACGGGAGGGTTTCGATCCTTCCTCGACTGCGGTACGTCAAACAGATTCAAACGCTGGGCGCACAATAGACCCGGCTGCTTGTGAGAAATTCAAGGACAACGTTCTATTCCCCTCATGGCAGACACGGTCAGACGTGCTCAACTACTGCGCCGGCGTCGCTACAAGTCCCGACCCGGACGATCCGGACCTTGTTCTTCGACAGACCGAATCAGCGAGGGACCGAGAGCGAGTCGTCGATGAACGTCTAGATCCGTACTCCGCGCGGTTTTTCCCTCGCGAGGCACGAACCGAGTCATTGGCGAATCTTGTCCGGAGTCAGCGCAGCGTTGAGGAGATCATTCGTGCCCGAACATGGGGTCTCGTGACGGAGAGATGCGATGGCCCATCAACAGGCTGGGAAGAAGCACTCAATAGCTGGCGGGAAAGGAAGCAACAGTGATTGCAGACAGGAAGGACTGGTGCCAATAGCTTTTTCCAAGCTTGTAAAGAACTCTTTGGGAGAGTTATAAGAGGCCGATATGTTCATGGTCCTGCTTATATGGTCATTCAGTCATGATTCGGGATATAATGTATATACTCAACGTGTACACTAATTGCATATAAAAAAGCGTTCTTTGATAATAAGATCATGAATTCAAGAGTGTGACGCAGGCGTCGGCATAAGAGCCAGCGCAATATATAGATTCCAGGTAAATCTTCATTTCACATCATATTATTGACGAAATACGAGCCAGCATACCACATACGGAGTAATTTGCTTCGAAAATAGTTGTTGGGCATAGATCCGAATTTAGGGCTGTCGGGGGTTCGATTTATGCACGCAAGCGTTCATTTATAAATCTCGGATAAATTATTCTTTCGTTCATTTGCCGGTCTGCCTGTCCTTGAGAACTGCGATCGGGAAGAAACATTGAGCTTGAATCGCAGTAGGCATAACCCCCGACCAATTCAAAATTGATTTGTCTGTTACTATTAGTTTCTCAGAGAGTTGCGTTGGTCATAGCTTATCATTGCCTAATCGCTCGTCGGTCCCGAAGGAACGATTAAATCACCCCCCGCGCACATCAGCTTCAGTCCGTCGACACACAAGTCATCCTACTTGCAGTCCCTCACCTCCTCCGCCTCACACACCACCCCCATCATGCCACAACCATTGAGTTCTAAGGACGCATCCTTGTTCCGCCAGGTGGTTCGCCACTATGAAAATAAACAACATAAGAAGGGTGAGTTCCAGTGCGGAATTGAGCCAAGTGTCGATGTTCGTGCCAGACAACTAAAAGTTGCTTGTCCTCAACAGGTATCAAGACCGCGGAGCAAATTCTTCGGAAGAACCCCAACCATGGCGATACCCTAGCGATGAAGGCGCTGATCACCAGCAACCTTGGTCAGCAAGAAGAGGCCTTTGCGATGGCTAAGGAAGCTCTCAAGAATGATATGAAATCGCACATCTGCTGGCACGTTTACGGTCTGCTATACCGAGCGGAGAAGAACTATGAGGAGGCAATCAAGGCATACAGATTCGCATTGAGGATCGAACCGGAGTCTCAGCCTATCCAGCGTGACCTTGCCCTGCTTCAGATGCAGATGCGGGATTACCAGGGATATATCCAGAGCCGAACCACCATGCTTCAGGCCCGACCCGCTTTTCGCCAGAACTGGACGGCTTTGGCTATCGCACATCACTTGGCAGGAGACCTGGAAGAGGCGGAGAAGGTGTTGACGACGTACGAGGAGACATTGAAGTCCACGCCGCCAGTTTCCGACATGGAGCACTCGGAAGCCGTCCTGTACAAGAATTCGATTATGGCCGAGGCAGGCAAGCTAGAAAAGGCTCTAGAACACCTCGACACTGTGGGTCACAGAATTACGGATGTGCTGGCCGTCATGGAGATGAAGGCGGACTACCTTCTGCGGCTTGACAGGAAGGAGGAGGCAGAGGCCGCGTACACTGCCCTTCTCGACCGCAACCCCGAGAATTCGATGTACTATGATGCTCTGATCAGAGCCAAGGGTATTCCTGACAATGACCACAAGGCTCTGAAGGCTGTATACGACTCTTGGGTGGAGAAGAACCCTCGTGGCGATGCTCCTCGTCGAATCCCTCTGGACTTCTTGGAGGGTGAGGATTTCAAGCAAGCTGCTGATGCTTACTTGCAGCGTATGCTCAAGAAGGGCGTCCCTTCTCTCTTTGCGAACATCAAATCCCTATACACCAACACTTGGAAACGTGATACAGTGCAGGAGTTGGTGGAAGGATACGTTTCCGTACCTCAAACCAACGGCTCTGCGGAGGGCGAGGCGAACGGCGACAACAAGGAATTCCTTTCTTCCTCCCACTATTTCCTTGCACAGCACTACAACTACCACCTCAGCCGCAATCTGACCAAGGCCATGGAGCATGTCGACAAGGCTATCGAGCTCTCTCCTAAGGCCGTAGAATATCAGATGACCAAGGCCAGGATATGGAAGCATTATGGTAACCTCGAGAAGGCCGCAGAGGAGATGGAAAAGGCGAGGAAGCTGGATGAGAAGGACCGTTATATTAACTCCAAGGCCGCCAAGTATCAGCTTCGCAACAATGACAACGATAAGGCACTTGAAAACATGAGCAAGTTTACTCGGAATGAGACTGTCGGTGGTGCGATGGGCGATCTCCACGAAATGCAGTGTGTCTGGTATCTGACCGAGGACGGCGAGGCTTATCTGCGCCAGAAGAAACTTGGGCTTGCGCTCAAGCGCTTCCATGGCATCTACAATATCTTCGACACCTGGCAAGAAGACCAGTTTGATTTCCATAGCTTCTCATTGAGGAAGGGCATGGTCAGGGCATACGTTGACATGGTCCGCTGGGAGGATCGCTTGCGCCAGCATCCCTTCTACACTCGGGCGGCTCTTTCTGCCATCAGGGCGTACCTGCTTCTCCACGATCAACCAGACCTCGCCCTTGGGCCCTTACCCAACGGTGCAGATGGTGATATTGACAGCGCTGAGCGGAAGAAGGCTCTTAAGAAGGCCAAGAAGGAGCAAGAACGACTGGAGAAGATTGAGGCCGACAAGAGGGCGGCAAGGAAAGCAGCAAGCACCAAGGGTGGTGATGGTGAAGTGAAGAAGGAAGACCCTGACCCGCTTGGCAACAAGCTTGTTCAGACCCAGGATCCACTCAATGAGGCAACCAAGTTCCTGACTCCGCTCTTGGAGTTCAGCCCCAAGAGTATCGAGGCCCAGAATCTTGGATTCGAGGTCTATCTCCGGAGAGGTAAGCACACTAACCCATACGATATCACAGTGACTTAAACTAACTTGGTTTACAGGCAAATATGCGCTCGCGCTCAAATGCCTCTCTGCTGCCCATGCTATTGATGCTTCCAACCCAACCCTTCACATTCAGCTTCTCCGTTTCCGCAAGGCATTGGATAGTCTCTCTGAGCCACTGCCACCTCAGGTGGCCGAGGTTGTAAATGCCGAGTTTGAGACTCTGCTCCCAAAGGCCCAGAACCTCGACGAGTGGAACGAGTCTTTCCTTTCGACACACAAGGACAGCGCCGTCCACACACAAGCAGCCCTGACATGCCGACAGCTCCTGAAAGCAGACTCGAAGGCGCAGTGCGAGAAAGATCTCACCGCCACCCTTGACTCGCAAGTTGAGAGCATCGAGACCGCTCTTGCTGGCCTGCAATTGTTGGACGAATGGAAAAGCGACCAGACCGCAAAGGCCGCTTACGCTGAGAAGGCCAAGAGCAAGTGGCCTGAGTCGTCAGTGTTCCAGCTGAACTAAAATGAATTTTATTGAGAGGAGTACATCCAGTCTCTTCCAATACTTCACAACTGCGGGGAATATTTGCAGTTGGTTTTCCAGACCCGAGTATAGAAGTCAAGAGTTTTACGGCCTAAGAATGCGGGTGGAGTTACATTTCTATAACGATGAAAGAAAAAAAGCTCAATTTTCTGATATAAGATTTCAAGCGATCGAAACAAGTGGAGATGATGTACCAGTACTAGTATAGTTGAGATTTCACCAGTCGAATTGGGAGCTAACCAGCTAGTCTGTGAAAGGATCAAAAGCAAACTTTCCCTTCATATTCTTTCATGTTTCTTTCTTGCTTAACCAGGTCGCGTAATTATATCCTGCATTGCATATAGCGCTGATAGAGCCAATATTGAATATTAGAGTCCACTTCCCAACGCACAGCCGTAAATATAGTTATTATACAGAGAGGGAAGTTTACCCGATACCGCGCAACAACAACACATCTGATCCAGTATGTACGAGTAGAAATTTAATGCCGTAACTAGACTAATATACAGTATAGATCGATTTGTTGGTACAGCAGATGAATATATCCTATGTTCACCATCCCTACCAATGCTGGTGCATATAAACCAAGCACATGTCTATAGCTTCCGTTCCATAACCATGAGAGATATCAAATTGAACTGGGGCGTGAATCACTGGTCGTCCTCTCCGTCAATGTTTCCAAGGATAGGCTTCCTCTTCAGGGTCTCCTCGTCCTCGCCGTATCCGTACTTGATCCACATGCGCTGCCAGAAAGGAACGGGCGTGGGCCGTTCCTCACCAAGGATGTATTCTGCGCCCTCGGCAATCCGTCGTGAGCGGGCTTCATCTTCGGGGGAAAGGACGTAGCGCTGCATCCGGGCTGCGATACGAGAATCCAGAACGACAGAGTCCACCCACTCGCGTTCCTTCTCAGGGTTCGCTTCATCCTTCTTGTGCGCGGATTTGTGCCAGTCCTGTTCTTCTTCTTCGAGGACGGTTTGTTGTTCGAAGTTTCCACCCATTAGGTTATCGGAGGCCGGAGCGGTGTCGACACCCGCGGGGGTTAGTTCGGAGTCTGTGCTGAAGGAACCATCGCTGTATGGCCGAGTAGTCGAGGCGAGAACGATGCCAGCAACCTCTCGTCCGACGCTATCAGCGAGGTAGCGTTGGTTTAAATATCGGTAGATTCTGATGGGAGTGTTCAAGAATCCTAGAATGTGAGGGAAATGGATCGGAACGGAGCCGTCCAAGGATTGGGGGAGAGATCGTGGGAGGCTTTGCGACGAGTAGTCGGCGGGAGTGATGTATGCTGGGGTCGGACCGGTAGGCTTAGAAGGCTTCTCATCCTTCTTCTCAGGTTCGTCCTTCTTCTCGGAGTTCTCTGCGGCAGGGGTGTCCTCGGGAGAGCCACTGGTCTCTGCTCCCTCGGAAGGTGACGGCACATCTGTCGGGACAGGCGGTTGGGGAGGGTCGAGTGGTCCAAGCCAGCCCTCATGGAGACCTCGGATATACTCCTTCCAGGTATTACGTCCAATAATCAGATCGCCCTTGGGAACTGGTTCCTCTACCACTCCGATCTTCTCCCTAGCATCCGCAACGACCTCTTCAATGCCAGCTTCTTCCACCACAGTGCTTGGCTCGCCGGACTTCCTTCTAAACTTGCGAATTCGCTCCGCAAGTCCAGCACGGACGTCACCTTCTCGTCGTCCTTCGATCACCTGGTAGTCTAAGGCTGCGGCGACTAGAATGGGCTTGACATATTCTTTGAAGTGCTCCCGGGCAACGCGCAGACCGTCGCCAGGAGGGGCCGACAGAAAGACTGTAAGCTTCCGCCGTGTTTGGTCAATTGGGAGAGGCTCCTTTGAAAGGTGC